GGCCCCGATGATGGCCTTGACGAGTGCCGCTGCGGGGACGCCTCGTGGCGGCCTCAGGACGTGGCCGAAGTCGTACCGCCGCACATCGCGGTGCCGCCTCTCCTCGACATCGAGACCTGCACCCGTCGCTTCTACGTCGCCGCGACGGCACGCGACGTCTCGATCCTGATGGCGGTTTCAGAGCCGAGCCACGCAGAGGCTCCTAATCACGGGGTGGGGTGCAGTCAAACGGCGAAGATGACGCGGGATGACGCGTTTGGCGTATTCGTCGACTATGGATTCCCAAAGGGCAGTCTTTATCACATCGGAGTTGTCGACCTTGATGACAAGAGCCACAAGACACTTCAGCATTACTTTGAATACGATGCGGACATTGTTAATGCGTTCTGTTCGATTCATCATCAAGCTTAATAGATCACAAAGAGCTAACACACTCAAATTTAGCATTTCATCCGCGCCTTTTCATTTCCTCCCGTACCATCTTCTATTTAACTTCTACATCGCCTTTTTCTGAGAAAACATATTTGACATGCCTTTTTTTGGGACCCCCAAAGTGGTCTGTCACCTTTTCTAAAAGTCCTTTATGGGCCTGCAACATTTATAAAAGTTGGTTTCTGTCGTCTTTCTGTTCTCTATGTGGTTGACTCGACTATATATTTCTTGTCTATCTGCGGATAAGTTAGCCGAGATATTTGTCCTCCCCCTGTTGCCACTTTTCAAATTCTCCTTGATTGCATTTTATATCTCTACATTTTGCTGAATACTCGTGTGAGGACTATTTCTCAAAGGGACTATTAGCAGTTCATTCCACAAATCAGTATCATTTAGGCAGAGAAAAAGGGCAAATTAAACACTAACACGATGACTACCGATTACAGAAAAACAGTGACAACCTATATTGCCCCTCAAGATGAGGAAAAATTGATAGACCGCCTTTACACACGTTCTATCGAGAGAAAAAAAGCTATAATCGAGGAATCGGAGCGGCGCTTTTACCCAGTAGCTGAACCAACTAAAATATCTGCTGAACAGCTCCAAAAAAGTATAGAACGACAAGTTTACCGTGAAATGGCGAGGCGGCAGGCTCGCGCCCAGGAAGCTGATGCGTCGCTCTACGGCCCCAATAACGGTGCCGCTGCGCGCTCGGTCTCCGGGAAAGGAAGGATTGCTGCGCAAACCTTGACAAATGATGAAGTGGCCGACTCCGTATTAAGGCTTTACAATCAGTCGTTAGAGCGAAGAAAGGCAAATATGTCGGAAAGCGAGAACCGGTATCTGTTCCACCCACCCGAGTCGAAGAAATTGCCCAAGGGGGAGATTCAAGAATATATCAACAAAATGAGCCAGCCACGAAAAAGGGAATACACCATTGATGAGATCAATAAGATATATGGATTTATGTGAAAGGAGGATTATTGATCCAACTTCTCCACACTTTACATGTACAAATTGCTATTATACTGACGTTATCTGCTTAAATGTAAAAATCCTAATTGTGATGCAGGGCACTTATCCTCCGTTTTTTCCCGTAAAAATGTCATTTGAGCCTGAAAAACTTCTTTCCCTGACGAAAATCAAATCCCATTCAGCAAAAAAAAAGATGCCCACAGACTAGGCAAAATCGATTTTTTCTCTACGATCAATAGTATTTCTTCACCTACTAGACCGTATCGTCAGCGTCGTGGATGGATGGGCGGGAGGATGTAAACGCTCCGGACCCTTCACAGGGGTCGCATGAGCAGAAAGATCGGGCGCCCGTGATGGATGCAGGCTCCCCTCGAGCGCGCCCCGCCGACGCGGTTTTATTCCCCTGTGCCCATCACCGCCGCGGGGTGGTTCTCTGCACCTCCGCCGGAAAACGAGGAGGGGCAACGCCTTCTCTTGTGATGGGGGCCACCGTCTTTTGGATTACCTGCCCTCACCTAAACAACGTCATCGCGCGGATTGAGCGGAATGGCGGGATTCAGCAAGTGGCGCGGGTTCTCTCGGAGGATGCCGCGGCCATGGCGGCCCACGTCGCCTCCCACGCGCGCTATGTGGAGCGGGTGAAGGAGCTGCTATCAGCCCCACAGTGGGAATTCTTCGTTTCGCATTTTGTAGAGCCCGGGGAAGGGTTGTCGGGACGCCGGTTTGGGAATGCGGCTGTGAGCCACGCTGGGGATGTCAAATGTCTCCACGCGTGGGTCGCTCAGGTGTTGGGGCGAGCGGCGAATCCGATTGGGGAAGGGGTGATTAACTTCATCCTGTTTTTGCACCGTCTCATGAGCGAATGTAGCAAGGGAGTTACCCGTAACGATGATAAGGCTGCTGTAAAGATGTGTATGAATTCTCCAACGCTCTTTTACGATTTTCTAACTCAAGCTTTTTCACAGCACCCCAACAGTGAGCGAGAGATCGAGTTTATGATTGAGAATGAGCGAAAAAAGGTACCGTATTCATGGATTAGTGATTGTGATGCGTTGGAGGTCCTCAAACCCGATCTTTGCCAGCGTTGCCTCGACGTGTTTTTATTCTTAGAGGGAAGGTCCCCTCGCATTTCCTCGAAGCGTCGGCTAAACTAACCCCTCCCCCCTCCCCCCCCCCCCTCCCCTCCCTCCAAAAGAAGAACGTGTGCGTAGGGAGGGACGTGAAAGAAGGGTTTCGATAAATTGAGGAAATGGTTTTAGTAATTAATGAGAAGGTAAAAAATCGGATAACATTGTGCTTGTGGTAAGAAGCATCCAAACATAAATAAATACCAATAGGGTAGAGAATTATTCATTTAGTTACATCAATCATGTCTTTTGTTCTTCAGTATGTTTTAGCGTTTAAAATGTTGGTGCTTCTTCTTCTTCTTCCTGATTCTATTTGGAGAATATATCGAAATTTAACCACTTTGAATTTGTATCAAAGGGAACGATTTACACAAATTTTCTCTTGATTCTCTTGACCTAGAACCGCAGCAACCTTATCAGCACAGAAATGGCGGTGTTCGGTTCTTTTTTCATCTATCAGGTTTCGGCACATCCCTACCATATCGCTCTCGAACTAATATTCGCCACGGTTCTGGTCTATATCTTTCTATTGCATCTGAAAAGGCGTGCGGCGAAGAGCCGGGATGCGGCGGCTCGTTCAGCGATAATACCCTCGCCTGAGGAGCAGGAGCGACGGCTTGCCGAGTTCCACTCCAAGTTCTTCCGAGAAGGCGAGCCGATCACCTCGAATGTGCAGGTGGCCAATTTCAAAGGGAACTATCGCGTCCTCGCACGTAATGGCTGCCATGTAAAGGTGGAAGGAGGGGTGTTTGCGGAGCCGACGGAGTGCCTGGATCTCGCCACGCACGACTACCATTCTTTCTCGACGGAGCCGAGCATCGTGGAGACGGCGAGGAGGACGGTGGCGGCCTACGGCGTCGGTAGCTGCGGGCCGAGGGGCTTCTACGGCACGATTCGCCCCCACCTCGAGTGCGAGGAGCGCCTCGCGCGGTTTTGCGGCACCGACGACGCCAGCATCTACAGCTTTTCCTACGCCACAATCGCGACGTTGCTTTCCTGTTTTGCCTCTCGTGGGGATTACATCGTGTGTGATCGTGGGGTGAGCTCGGCGGTGATGGAGGGCTGCGTTTTAACCCGCTGCAACGTCACCTACTTCACGCACAACGACCTCGAGAGCCTCGAGCGGGAGCTGCAGGCGGTCGTCGCGAAGGACGGCCACGGGAAGCCGCACCGTCGGCTGGTGGTCACGGAAGGGGTGTTTCGCAACACCGGGGAGATCTGCCCGCTGCCGGGGATCCTGGCGCTCTGCGATCGGTATAAATTTCGCATCGCGCTGGAGGATAGCTACGGGTTCGGCGCGATCGGGAAGACAGGCCGCGGGACCCCGGAGCACTTCGGGATTCCCATCTCGAAGATCGACGTCTATGTCGGATCGATGAGCACGTCGCTCGGGACGGTGGGCGGGTTCTGCGCCGGGGAGGCGAGCATGATCGATTTTCAGCGCCTTAGCGCGACCGCCTACGTCTTCTCCGCTTCTCTGCCCCCTTATGTGACTGCATCCACGTTGGCGGTGTTGGATCTTATCGACAAGGACCACAGCCACACGGAGAGACTGCAGGAAAACTCGAAGCTTATTCGTCGTCATCTCCGCAAGGCGCAGGTGGATGTGAACAAGATTGCGCTGGTCGGCGATGAGGACTGGGTATCCCCATTGATTTATCTCCAGGTCCCGGACGCCTACATCCAGGAAGTGACCCGTGAGGTGGTGGAGGGGAAGCTACAGCAGGTTGTCAACACCGTGGCGGAGAATAAGATTATCATTTTTCGGCACCTTTATTCAACAACTGAGCCTACCTTAAACCAACCCTCTCTAGTTATAGTATCCAAGAGTAAGGCTACCGAGGATGAACTGACTGGTGCCATGAATGTAATTGTCCGAGCACTGGAGAGTGAGTTTTCGTAAACACATGCGCATGAAGTTGCATATACAATCAATTGGGAAATTCTATTTTGAAGTATGGTGGGCATCTTACTTCGGTATTGTTTCTATTCAACACGTGTTTGCTATCAATATAGAATCATTTAGCGTTTTAATGATTAAGCATTTGAATTGTAATGCTTGACAAAGCATAATAAATTATGTATTTAAGTGATCATGTTTCTTTACGTATTCGTCCTTTCATTTCTTTCTGACCGTATTCAAAATTTGTTTCTTTTTGATTGCACTACAGGTGCATGTGAATGAGTGTGTGTGCGTGAGATGGCTGTTGTTGTCGCTCATATTGATTTGAAATGTGCCAGGGTTATGGGGAAAGAGATGAGTAAAACGATGCAAGCAACTTAGTTATTGTGCATACTCAAAATTGTATGGAAAATGCACTATTTCGAGCGTTTGTTTTCCTTAAGTGGAGAAAAGAAAATATTTTATACTGTGTGTGGCTTATATACTTTATTCGAAAATGCGTGTATTATCGTTTTTCGTTTTAAGTAAATATCAGCCAGCATCATCTTGAGTTGGTTTTGCTATTGGAAAGGGGACACATATGCAAAATCGATAATTATTTCTAGACTTCTCTTTTTTTAATCAGAATTTTCGATGGGTTTTCAAAATAAAGTCAATTTAGTCAATCACCATCACGTATTGCTTGCTCGGTTCATTACACGTGGGTGTATTAGTTGATGCTCAATCCACACTGATACACTAACTTACATCGAGCCTATTTCTTTGCGCACTACGATACCCCTCCCTCCCGTAAATAAAAAGTGTATAACACCAGGCTCCCTCTCTAATATTTCCCATTGCTCTGTTCTTAGGTAAAGTTGAAGTTCTGTGGTGGGGAAGAGACATGTCCTTCCATTTCGCGTCCGCACCGCTGAACTTTCAGCGGTTTCTCGATCTCACTCGATCGGGCTCTCGTAGTTTGTCTCCCGAAAATGAACTAAGACAGATGGTAGTATCATCTGCATCGAGTTCTCACATCAAGCAAGACGATTTGTTAAGTTCTTCCAGCGTCTATCCTAGCAATTCAAAGTCTAATCAGCTTCACCAAACTTCATATGGCCACCTTACAGGATCGACGACATCTCTAAAAGCAAGCTCGTCGTCAGTTGAAGATGATCACTTTGATGGAACGGGGAACCCCTTACTAAAGTACACTGCCGAAATCCGTGAGGATTACTTGAACAGTTGTGGTTTTGCGGAAGAAGAGTGCCTGAAGAGCACTAACAACGAGGTGATGAATGAACTGGTCGAAGAATTCAAGACCTTTTCATTGTGGCAGTATGGTAGTCCTTTTTACTACCCTGTTACAGACGAATTTTACTGCTGGAACCTGCACCCACTTCAGCCAAAGTACAAACATGAGTACCACGGTATGGAGGGCATCAGTTGTGATTTTTGCGGCTATACCGAGTGGCTTACGACGACCGACGAGCCGGAATCGAACTCAAAGTCTTTAGATAAACCGAAGACTTCCTCTCGTCAGAGCTGTGGCACTTCTAAGATTGAAGTTTTGCACACACCCACCCAGCACGAGTCTTCACGTAAGCGTGTAAAAGAAGAAGAAACTGCGCTAGAAGCACCAAAGTCACGTACCATATTCCATCACTGTTCTGTCTGTCGAGCGGATCTCTGCGCGGCGTGCATTGCTGACATCCGCTCTGATGACCGCTATCATGCGCCTTGTCGGCAGTGTCTGCGGTGTAAGAACTACCTCTCTCATCAGCAGGGAGCTGCGCATCGCTGTAGAGGCTCTAAGGACACCGCACGTGCTGTTTTCGTCAAAAAAGAGGAAGCGGGAGGTGCGAAAATACCGGTGCCAGATTTTCCACGAGGTGGAGTGTGTATTGCTCCCGAGGAGGACCTTCATTCTACCTCTCAGGGCCACACTGGGCGCAAGCCAGCAACGCGAAAGCGCACCAAAGCTGTGGATGAGGCCCACCTCTTGACCGATAGCCCTCGTGCGATTAGGACTTCAGGCGTGAAGAAGTCCAACTCCGATTTTCCAGTCCTATCCTCTGCTGGGGCTGAGTTGATCCCGAAGAACATCCCTTCAGCACCGCTGAAACCGGGGAGTTGGATGGAAGCGGGTTATGTTTTAGCTTTGGCGCGTTCGAATGGCAAGACTAAGCCACAGAGACGGTCTCCGGCAACGAGGACGACACCAGGGCCTGAGAGCGGCTGGGAGGTTTGCTTCACAGCGAGTACTGCGGAGGAGACTGCACAAGCGGAGCGGATACTGAAAGCTGTGCCCATTCAGCCAGTTCATCAGAAAGTGAACGCCTTGCATGAGATCTTGTATATCTTTAAGACAACTACACGGCTAGCGGCGGAGAACTGTGCGCGACTTGCCCGTGAGGCTGGTCTGCTCGTTTCACTTAGGAAGCTCTAAGATTTCGTTTTACGGAATATGTGCAAGTCGAACTTCAATTAGTCTTGTGTTACATTTTTAAGAAAGAACAAAACTTTCTTAGTAAAATTCCAAATCTAACGCTATTCCGCTATCACTTGTATCATGTTAAGCTGGAGATGTCATCCAGGTACTTCTTTTCGCAAATCATTTGCGTTTCCTGTTTTCATCCCTTACAGACTGGACTCCAAGGAAAGGTAGATACAATAAGGGCCATCATTCCGTTCCTACGAATAGGGGTTAGACTAGGCTCTTCAAGAGGCAGAATATATAGAGAAACAATTTTTTCTACCAATAACGGGGCTTAGCCCTAATTATCTTCACAAGGGTGTTGTGGTTCATGGCAGTCGTTGAGGTAGGTACGTGGAATGTACGTGCAGGATACATTGGGGATCTCGTGTGCACGCGTCAGCTACGATCCTTATGCAGCTGCGTTGCCCCAGAAGAAACAGATTTTATATCGATGATCAAGGCATCTTCAGGTGTTCTAAATGGTACTTTTGGCGAAGGGGTGTGTGGCGCCCACCCCGAAAAGGGTTCGTCCGGGGAAACCCCCATCAAGCCGCTGTGGACGCTGGACGCGTTCGAGCGGGACGGCGCCCTCCACGTGGACTCCCTCCGTCGCCTCAAGTGCGACCACCTCCACTGCCCCCTGGACGACCCCCTCCTGCTTGTCCTGCCGGAGCGCTGGCACGAGGAGCGGGGCGTCATGCAAGGGCTCTTCGAGGCCATCCTGGAGGCTCCCCACCTCACTCGGCTGCTCTATGCCGGGCGGCCCAGTGTCGGGTGGGCCTTCGCCGCCGCCCGGGCCTCCGCAGTGGTCCTCGACGTCGGCCATTTTCATTCCACCGTTGCGGCAGTCCTCGACGGTTATGTCCTGCGCGGGACGATTGACACAGCGGCCGTGGGCGGCGCGGCCGTCTCGGCGGGCCTGTCCGCCACCCTGCAAAGGCCCCTGTGGCCTTCACTGGGACAGCGCTACGCCCACCTTCTCGGCGCTTTAGAACTGAAGGGGGAGGCAAGGGGGGGCTGTGACACCTTGTGGGATCTCCTCCTTGACCACACCGTCGCGGACATAAAGCGGCTTTGTGGGGTGGTGCGCCACCCTCAGGGGGCGCCGCCGGGGGCGATGTCGGTGCGTGCGCCCGATGGCACCCTTCTGGAGTTGCTCCCTGAGCAACGGTGGGAGCCCTTTGAGGTGTTGTTCGGCCCAGAGGAGGGGGGGACAGGTAATGTGGCGCGGCTGTTGTTCTCCTGCATGCAACAGTTGGACCCGGAGTGGAGGCTTCAGACCGTTCACCACGTGCTGGGGGGTGGAGGGAGCTTAGTGCCTGGTTTCCGTGAGCGCATTTTACATGAGACCAAGTCGATGGATCCTTCCTACTATAGATATGAGCGCGACAACGCCTTTACGGTGGCCAGTTCTGTCGAAGGGGCCTGGGCAGGGAATTCCATTGCGGCAGCAAGCTCCTCCTTCGAATCGCTCTGGATCTCCAAGTCAGAGTGGGACGAGGAAGGAGAGTCGTGCCTTTTCAGAAAACTGTTCTACTAAGACGATTAAGCACAGGGCTGAAGGCAGAAAAGTGGTGAAATATGAGTGGGGATAAATAATAAAGAAGCTTATGTGAGTAATATAAGCAGAAGACCGTGATGATATACATCTCTGATTTTCGCCACTAACTTGATCTCTATTTTCCTCGTTTTGTGTAACCATTCACGCATTTAAGATATCAAAGAGTTACGTAGGCTTTACTTTGCCTGAATGGTGTTGTGCCCTTCCTTTTATTTTTGTCATGAACAAATAATTACAACTCTGTTGACTGCTCGAAAAAAGGGAGTGTCCAAGGTACTTCTCCCCATCGCACAATTACTGGACCCGTTTTAGGCTTTGTGCCGACAATTCCGCAGGTAAAGTCCATCATTTTTCACATGATCTTTAATCAATCATATTTACATTCCTTTACCTTTTTATCCATATCCCACTCTGCTTCATGATTAATGTTAGATCATTCGTGTTGCATATATGTAGTATTTTTATTATTTGCTCATTGGTTTGTCCCTCAGTAGTTGGTGGAACCTGAACAGATGTCGTTATTTCATATTGGTAGGCCAAATATCAATATAGCTACTAGAAATAGGGAGAGATGCATTGCTATGCTACGGGAGAATTTGCCAGAACCTTCCAAAGCGTTCCTTTCACAAGGGGCTCTTCCTGCTAGCAGCTATCGACGACAGCGTCTTCTAGAAGTAAAGCACGAGTTAGACCTCCCGCATGAATGGATGCCATCTGCGTCGCGAGCTCTCCAAAAAGCTTGTCATGGGCTTATTCAGGACAGCATTTTTGAGGAAACCGACTATTTTTTGTGCGCTCTTTTGCATCCCACTTTTATCCCGCAGCGCCACCCACGCGCGGCGGAGCTCCGGCGTCTTGTGGCGATGCCCTCAGAGCTCTCATTTTGCGGTATGAGCAGTCTGCAGCTCCTCCGGCAGGCGCTGGAGCTCCACCAACGAAGCATGACTAGCACGCTTTCTGATCTTGGCCTAAGCGGTGGGGATGACATCCCTGCTAATGGGCCAATGAAGCCGCCCTCCGTCTCCTTTCTCGCGACCCCTCCACGCTACTTAACGGTGGATAAGTTGGAGGTATCAGACCTGGAGAGGGTGCCCCTTGCCGCCGAGTTGGAGTCCTTTTTGTTGTTCGACCCCAAGGTGTTCTCCACGCCGCAACTACAGAAACGCGATTTTGGTACTCCGCAGGAAGTTCTCTTGGCGACGACGACGGCGCTTTGCGGTGCGATTGAGTTAACGCAGGGAACATTGGCTGTTGCATCGTTTCTAGAACGAATGTTGAAGCGCAAAGAAGAGGGATAAATTCCAGGGACCACGTTTTGGAGGTTTACTTCGATGCCATAGGAAACCACTTCCCCCCCGTTTTTTTTTTCAGGAGGGGGAGGGAAGGGTGTGTGTGTGTGTGCGCCTTCCTTGGTTTACAAGTGACTGACCTTCCGGACGTAAAGTTGGACGGGTAAGATCTCTTAAACTTTTTGCGCCTTTTTGATGATTATAGTCGTACTTAAGCAAAGAGGCGATTAAGCATTTACGAGGCAACAGTGTTACCGTTGCGTTGGTGGCCATCTGATATCATAGGCTCACTTTAAATGTGGATTGTATATGTATCCTGTATCAATGACCCCTCGTAGTATTATTCGCTCATGGAAATATCAAATCGTACCGAAATACGGGTTGCGTCTATGTAGGCTATGTATGGAGAGTTTGAGTTATTTTATTGCCTTGTTTCGGACATCCGTGAGCATAACAAGTGCAGATCTTCAATCGGCTCTGGTATTTGCCGAATTGATAATTACATGCGGCCAGCCTCCGAAAAAGGATATTGTATGCTTTCCTGCTCAGCGCTTCCGAGTAGTTAGTTTCGTGTAGTATTTGCGTTCGATTTTGACTTTACTGCTGTCGCTATCTTTGTTGTTGTGCTATAGGCATGCTATCTTCGGAAATAATTGTTAAGCATTTCATTTATTATTATTATTGATACTGTTCTTTATATCCTATTCACTAGTGATGCCTTTTCAATGTCTTCGGTAGGGTTTGACATCTACGTTTTTTCCTGTTCTTTTCCTTCTTGCATGCGTTTCCGTTTAGGGAGCATATTTTTTTTGAAGTTCTAAAGTATCTGTATCGTGAGCACCAAGAGTATTCCTATATTCAGTGACGAGTTCGTATATGTAGCGAGAGAGAAAGAGGTGTTAAAAACATTCCTGAGCATACTTTGTGACAAGTGTGCCTTTTTCTTTCCTTCCCATTAAGTGCAAGACGAGGAACCAGCGAGGCAAAGGGAAAAAAGTGAACCAATAGCTGAGTAATTGTCTTTGACGGTCCATTGAGGACGAGAGATGGACCGCACTTCGATTTACGGTCCTATGGCTCCCAAGGTCATTCCTGGAGTTAACAGCAGCGTCGGATCGCCCGAGTCGGAAAGCTTCAGCGTTGTTCACAACACCGCCTGCTTTCCTCATCAATCCGCGCACTACGGCGTAGAGGATCTCCTAGCCTGCGGTTTAGGCGGTTCTCAGGGTGGAGCTACTATTCGAATTTTCGACATGAACAGCGTGCAGTTGGTGCAAACTCTACACGGCCATCGTGGCTCCATCACGGCTTTGCTGTGGAAGCCCCCTAGCGAGTCTTGCCAGCAACATCAGCTGCTTTTATTTAGTGGCGACAGCGAGGGCATGCTGCATCTCTGGGATGTTGTGGAAGGCTTACTGCTGAGTAGCATTCAAGTCTCGTGTAGACGGTCGATCCGGGTACTTTCGTTGTTTTCACCTCAACATCTTTTGGTTCTGACGGAGGACTCCACTAGCTACGTGTTTGATGCGCAGCTCGCGCATCCCATCGCGTGCTCCTCTGCATCAGCTCTTTTTAGCCTTAAGGATGACAACCGCACACTTTCTCATTTTCGTCGATCAAAGCTAAGCGCCGAGCGTAAGTTTCTTCTGATATTCGGTGGCCGTCTGCGTGTAGTATCGGATTTAAACTTGCTTAGGCAGGAAACGGTTGAGGTGAGAGATCTTGTATACAAAGACAGCGACGTCGAGGGACCCATTGTGGATGCGTTTTTCAGTGAGGCGGTGGGGGAGCTGATCTACTTTGCCACCCCGAATTCGATTGGGCTTTATGACTGGCCATTCAATACCATATTAGAGGAGCACATTTTTGAGCTATCCGATGGCGTGCGTTTTCTTCGAATTTTTCCCTCCTCACCGGGGTTGACGGCGGGGTCGGTGAGCCCGAGCGTTCCCGTGTTGTATTCTTTCGGGAGTGATCAACGGCTCGTCGCGTGGTACCTCGCCGGCGGCGGTTTCACAACCGTTTCGGAGGACATCCGCAGCACCCGTGCGCTCTCGCGGGCGGTCGTGAACGTGATCCAGTCGGAGGGGTCGACGACCCTTTTTGTGGTGCTTTTCGAGGATGGCAGCCTTTCCAAGTGGGGGTATGAAATCCAAACCCGGCGATGGCGGCTGACGAACTTCTACACCAACCCGCTTTATCGCGCGGTGTGTGCGTGTGGGGTGGGGGCCTCCCGTCTCCTCTGCGTCGGCCTCGAGGGCGGGCACCTCGCGGTGATGGATGCCGCGCATAACCTCCCGTTACGGCGCTTTCACCTCGCCTCGTTCGGCAACACGAAGATTCATCTGCTCTTCGGACGAGGGAGGGAGGAGGCGGTGTGGGTGGTCTCCAGCCGCGCCGTGGAAGGGCGGTATCGCATCCAAGTCTCGCTGCTCGATACGCGAAGTGGGGAGGTCGTCTTCACCTTGCGCGCCCCTTCCGCGACGGCCGAGCTCACGCAGGTGAAACACGTCAGCATGGATCCGTCGTTTCGATATCTGCTGTTGGTTTTTTGGAATGGTACCTTTGAGGTGTGGAATACGGAGGAACGGCGGTTGATTCGTTCCTACGCGGAGTTGGGGGTGGGGAATATCTCCTGGGCGCCCACCTGCATGCGAAGCTGTCTTCGCGACTTCCAAGGCACCCCTCAGCTGCTGTTGGTGACTTTTACGGAAGGGGTGAGCTCTCTCTGGATGGTTTACCCGGATCGCGTGGTGAGCAACCCCGAGGTGGCTTTTCACCTCCCACAGGGTGGGATCAACAACACCGTGCAGTCCGTCGCGGTGGGGTCTCGGATCGTCCTCTTCGATGCCATGGGGAGCGGGGTTGTGTTGTATACTCGTGGGCGGGAGTTTTTGAAGTTAACCTTGAAAGACGTGCCGCTCAGTTCATGCCCGGTGCGCGGTCTCGCCTCGCTCGCTTCGGACGACGAGGCGATCGCTTCCGGCGATCCTTCGTCGACGAGGGCCTCACCCAACAACGCGGAGGCGGAGAAGGCGCCGCATCACCTGGTGGCGGTTGTTCTGGATGATCACTCCTTCGGGGTGTGGGATACGGAGACTGGGGATCGCGTGGGCTACTCCGCCCGGATGGAATCGGGCGCGTTGATCACAGCGAGCTCGATTTTCTGGGTGGGGAGGGAAAATGTGGCGGTCCTCGGCCTCGATGGTGCGATCTACCTCATGCACTACACCATCCGCACGGTGAACAGCAAGATGGGCTCCCGGCCCCTCCGTCGACCGCTTGAAAACATGGCGTTTCTCCCCCCATCCTATCGAATCTACCTGCAATCCTCGATCGAACTCGTCGGCGTTGTTGACCCTTTGGACGTCGTTTCTCCCTCAGCTTTAAGCGCGACGCAATGGCAGCGGTTTTGCGCCGCGATTCCTTCCCCCTCTTCGAAAGGCGATCCGGCAGGGGCGAGGCGCTCTTCGGCGAGTTGGATGATCTCCCATATCGCCACCGACTCTCGGCCCTGTCGAGGACCTTTTGGCCAGCTCCTCGCCCCGACCCTTTCCTCGCTCGAGGAGGAGCTTCAGCTTTATCGGCAAACGATGATCCCCTCGGATATTCAAACCAACTTGATGCGGGCGCATGCGCGAGGGCGATGGTGGGATCTCCTGTATTGGAGCGCCAGGCTCTTCGGGCAAGTGGAAAAGCAGCGTTTCTGGGCGCAGGCGAGGCTTTTTGCGGCAACCCCAAACGGGAATACCGGGTTTAACAGTCCTGTCGAGCGAGATGCCACCACGACGCGGATTGTCGATCGCGATTCCACCCCTTCGAACCTCGGGAGGCTTTTTTATTTTCCCTATCCGCTCGCCGACGCGTTCACCCCGTACCTGGACGATCCCACGAGGTTACTTCACAACCGTTTAGCCCTGGTGGAGGCTCGGGGGCGGGTTCTCGGCAAGGATCCCGCGACGCGGCTTTCGCTTGCGCGGGAGTTGTTAAAACTCCGCCACCCCACGCGGGCGGTGGATCTCCTCCTCGACGGCCATCACGAAGGGGTGGCGTTTAACGAACTTTCGACGTTGGCGGTCGCGATCGCGGCGGTGCGGCCGCTCAGAAGGAAGGGAGGAGGAGGAGGAGGAGGAGGGGGGGCCTCCACGCGGGGGAGTTTTTTCCACGTCGCGGCGAAACGCGCGGCGGCGGTGCACCTCTCGCGTGGTGAAGTGGAGGCGGCGGTGGAGAAATACCTCCTCGCGAATGATCCCCGCGAGGCCGCGCATGTGTTGCAGTTTCAAGGAAGATGGCAAGAGGCCGCGGCGGTGATTCAACACGCGAGCTTCCCCAGTGAGGAGGAGCACCCAGGCGAAGGAAACATGGAAGGGGAGGTCGAAGAGGAGGAGGAGGCCCGTCGGGAGGTTTTCCGTCGATGGGGGGTGCAGTGCGGGAAAGTCGGGCAGTGCCTGGAGGCGGCGCGGGTGTTTTTGCACATCCGCGACCCCACCCGTGCGCTGCGGGTGTTGTCGGAGTCGGCGAATTTCGTGGATATCTCGGGGATGCTCGCGATGGGGTTGGGGATGGAACGGCCTTCGTCCGCGGGATCCCCACCTCCCCACGTGGAGGCGGGCGGGGGGTTGGATTCCTCGGTGGGGGAAGCGGCGTTGGGAGAGGCGATGATCGCCGCCCTCACGGACTACAGCAGCGTGTTGAGCTCCGTCGGCTATTTTGCCGGGGAGGCGTTGGTGCTCGAGCGGCTTGCTTTACTCAAAATGAGTCTAAGAGGCCCGCCAAAGGCAGCACCCTAGCCAAGTTCAAATCGAAACGTCGCCCCTCTCTTCCCCTTCCCCTCCCCCTCCCCCCCTCAGAAAAAGAGTATATTGATATTGCAAAGTTACACATAAGAAACGTTGTTTCATGAAATTGAGCGGTGTGTGTATTTTTCCCACGTTTATTATTATTATTATTATTAATCTTATTTCTAATGATGCTCTTTCTTCTTTAACCCCCAAAATGAGGAGTACAAAAAAAGAAAAGCGAGAAGGGCAACATACCCCCAAGGAGGCCCCTCACCCCCATTCCTGCTTATTTATGCACGATCCCATCCATCCATGCGCAGTCATCGGTCGGCCAAATTCGCCGAGTACATTTCCACCTTTGCGATTTTAAATTCCATCGGGGTGCACGATGCCGTTCTCGTGGAAAGGCGAGATTCAGCTGTGGGGATCGGGGTCTACGCGCGGGAGGCGTGCGATGCGGGGACGACACTTTTTGTCGTTCCCATGCATCGCATCTGCAGCAGCTCTGTCCTCGCGAAGCTCGGAACGAAGGTGGAGCTGCAATGCGGAGGGTGGAATGCGGAAAAAGTAGAAACGCTGAATGAGGGGTTGATCAGCTTTCTCATGGGTTTGGAAGGGGCGCGTGGGTGGGTGGAGTGCGCCTGGCGAATGGCCCTGGAGCGGCATCGCAGCTATTCCCGCTGGTGGGGGTGGATTCAGAGCATTCCCAGCGAGGAGGAGTTGCGCGCGCTGGAGGAGGGGGTTCGCGGGAACTGCCGAGCGCTGCACCCCACCTTCTACCCTTTTTGGGAAAAAGGGCGTCGCAAAATCGAAGAGGAGACGAAACTTGCCTTTGAATTGCTCTCGCAGAACAACCTGAGTCCTACATTATCCTGTTTTTCATGGGCGATCGAAATTCTTCTCTCGCGCGGGATGTTATTGCCGGGTTGCTGGCGGGAAAGTGAAGGTTTGGAGGAGGCTGTGGTGGAGATCGGCGTGGTGCCGTTTGTGGATCTGATTAATGGAGCGAATGATACCACGTTGAAGGAAAACGCCGTTGTCGAAATTGCATCCACGGCGGAGGATTTACCGCATTGGTACAAATCGTGGGTGGTGCAGGAAGCACAGCGAAAGGGTCGCAATGAATCCCTTGATGTGGCGAAGATCCTACGACAGCAGTTTTGCCTGTGTGTGAGCTTGACGAGGCCGCTGGCGGCTTCCGAGGAAGTGATTATTTCATATCCTACACCGGTGCTCACCACTGGGGTGCTTTCTAGTCGTGAAGATGCGTTGTTATCACGGCTGATAAAGTACGGTTTCTAGGGTGCGTCTATTGTCATTATCTTTCCGTATCTTTCTCGCTTCCTCCTTGTTGCATTGAGATTCATACTTGTGCGTGAGTGTGGCTGTGGTAGAGGAATATCATACACACAAAAAGGAATATGTGCAAGCCCATGCCGTGGCTATACGAACTATTCTCAAACTTTTTAAAACCTCTTATGGAATTCTTTATGGACACATCTCATAGGGTTTGGTTATCATTCCGATATAATAAAATAGTTTAGGTCTTCCATTGCTCCGTACTAGGAGCACTTAAATTTATCGAGTGGGAAGAGCAGCCAAACTCTCGGGGGTATCTGAAAGATGTCTGTCGCTTACCATCGTTTGAAGATGAAGCTGACGCGTGGGGCCGTCGGCTACGCCCGCAATTTTTGTGATGGATGCAATCATGTAATATCCTTCTTCGTTTCACCTTTTTCGCGCATTGGGAAGCGGATATCAGCGGAGGCACCTTGGGTTGTGTTTATCCTCGCCTCTACCTTTGTCATGGTCATTCCGCTGTTGGCGTATCCCTATCTTAAGCCCATTATCGGGCGAAACCCTCGACATGACGAGGAAGAGGAGCGCGTGCGTTTATGCCTGCAAAAAGGTATCGATCCCTACCCCTATATGCGGCATAAAGAGCTTGTCTACGGGAATAAAGTTACGGCATTTAGCACGGAAAAGCAAAATCCCAAAGATTCGGCCTGGGAGTACACCTCGCTTCTCGAATTTCAACGTCGAAAGGAAGAGCTGCGGCAGCAAGTGGGTGGGGATATCGGCGATACCGTTCAGAAGCTCTTGGATCTTCGGAAGCAACAGCAACGGCAGTTCGCGTCGAGGCACACACAAATCAATCAGGAGCCGAAGGATGTTACCTTCCCGGGGCGGTCGGATTCGGACCAACTCTTGTCGTAATCTCAGCCCATCTCTCAAGAGCTCTTTCCTTTTTAGTAGTTTCTCTCTCTCTCTCTCTCTGTTTGTGGAAGTGTGGATTTGTTTACTGGTGTAAATTAGCCGAGTTATTTACTTTTTTTGCAGTTCCGTCGAGGGTTTGTGAGATTTATCGCCTACATGAAATCCAACGAAACTTTTCAAGAAGGGGTTCAATTAAGTAGCTGCTGATCTTCAGCAGCATTCCTTATTTGGACTTATCATAAGATTCCCTTTCCTTATCAGATAGTTTGATTGCATATTATTTTCCTATTCCCAACTAAATTACCAAGAATTGGTCAGTTTTCATGCTTTCCATTGGACATATTGTGGGGGTTTTATTCGTTCACCCCCATTCTTTTTTTTTTGTGTAGTACTTTTTTAAGCTATAGCATACATCCTTGGAAGGGTGGAGAGGGTACCTTCATGTTTAGACGTTGCATCATCAACCTCGCACCGAGCGCGAGCGCTTCCGCGGCGAAACTGCCTGCGGGGAATCCCGTTCATAAGGGGTGGTATCGAAATAACTTAATCATTCGTCGGAAAGGCAGCTATCGTTCTCGTTGGGGAACGGGCGCGGAGGGCTACGGTGCGGGTGTTCCCTTTAGCGATCAGGTGAAGCTGCACTGTGTGGATAACACGAACTGCAAACACGTGCGGTTGATCTCCAAGGCGACGGCGGAGCGCTTTGCGCACTGCCGCGTTTTTCCTGCGGTCGCACATCGCGTTTCGATCAACCGCTTCAAATCTGGCGGTGAAGTCAGTCGGCATCGGATCAAACCTGGAAATATTTACTGGATTTGTCTGTTTACTCGTCGACAGACGAACACGCGGATGAGTGGGTTGCAGACTAATTTTGATAGAAATACGTGTATTTTAATGAACGATCAGAGGGTGCCCTTGGGTTCGCGCGTGATGTATTCCGCGGGCAGGCATGTGAATCACAAATATCACCTAAAGGCAATGGTTTTGGCGAACTTTTTTGTCTAATGCACGTGGTGGGGAATAATTTTTTCCCCTCGTGCTGTGGGAGGTCTGTGTATCGACTGTTTTTTTTCCACTCATATGAGGTCTTATCTGCTTACCTAAAAGCAGAGCAGCTTATTGGTTATGTTGAAGAATTCAGCTACCTGTGGTTCCCACCATCTGGTGTTAGTTTCAATGTAAGTAAAAAGTGTTTGGAAAGATACAGCCGTTCTTGTTTGCTATTTATTTATTTCGTCCCTCCCACCCTACCCCTCGAAAGGACCAAAGCGAGGTAATTAAAGGCATCGTTAATCCGGACAAATCTATTTTTACAACTCTAATTGATTCATTTTTTACAAATTAACAATGTCAGGCAGACTTGAGGGGGAGCCGTCTTCAAATGATAAGGCTGCCGACATCGACTCCCTGAATCTTAATGGGAAGGACGAAGGTGCCTTGCCAAGCTCTCCGAAACTTTCGGAAGAAGCGCAGCTGATCGAGGTCGACGAAGCAGCATGTGAACGCCTCAAGGAGCTTGGCAACGGTTTTTTCAAGCAGGGAAAGATTGCGGAGGCCCTGGAGGAGTATCGTAAGGCACTTCTCAGAGCCCCCATTAAAAAGATCCCTCGTTCCGAAAAGGATGCGCGTTTCGGGAGGGATGACGCCGTACGATTTCCTCCCGAGGAAGCGAACGTTACGGGTCGAGAACCGCGATCGGAAACCATTGGTTCCCCGAACCATCATGCGGAAAAGGAAGGTGATGAAAATCAAGACCAAAACAACGCGAATTACATCCTAACCTCTCAGGTTTTCTGCAACGCGGGGCTGTGTTTGATGAAGCTCGGGGAGAAAGACGAGGCGATTGAGATGCTTTCCGAGGCGATTCGGCACCAGCCGAGCTACGCGAAGGCCTTTTTACGCCGCGCAGAGGCGTATTTCGATCTCGAGAAGTGGCCGAGCGCATTTGGCGACTACGAAAGCTACGAAAAGCTGGGAGGGGTGCTGCTCGCGGAGGAGCGAGCCCGCAAGGAGGCCGCGAAGGTGAAAGTGGATGAGGAGGTGGGAAAGACGCTAAGCGCTATTAAGGATTTGGGGAATCGCTTTCTCGGCAATTTCGGTCTCTCCACCGATAACTTCAAGTTTGACAAGGATCCCAAAACGGGAGGGTACTCCATGCGTTTCGAACGCTGATTAAAGTGGTGGCTATATTATATTATCCTATACTTCTTATTGTCTGTTGTGCCCTACACATAAAGCAAAGCATTACTCACTCTGTTAGCAATAAAGCGCAACTTTTTGAATTAAGTGGTACGCATTATTTCCTTTTTGCTTTCTGTTGCTTATATATGGGTAACGTAATCTTAATAATGTTTCCTTAGGTGAACATATTATTCTATAGCGCTCTATAATGAAGTGCATGCATGCGTATCACAACAACAACAAATCACATGATATTACGAATGGAAGGGTTCTTTATTTCTCTATTTGTATATTATTCCAACTGTCAATGTCCTTTTTTTCCTTGATTGACGATAATGGCAAGAAGTGCCTCCACTCTAGGAGCGATTGTTTACCGCATTTACTCCAAAAAAAGGATGGTTCAAAATTGTTTTCATAGTTCTTTTGCCGACCTCAAACAAATTCATGTAGGGGGGCTGAAATCACGGTAGCTTATGCGGAACTCTTCACCAAGAGGGCGGTAGAGAGTTTTAACCCGTGCACAGGTAATGGAAGCAGCACGCGCATACGCAACGAAAACAAATGGTAAAATTATCCACTAACTGTGCTCAACACCTTCGACAGGGAAATCAACGAGATAATAAACCACTGCTCTGAATAGCCTTTCTGTTTAAATGCTACAATCGTGAAAACGCCGTGAGTGCAATTATTTCACATTTAAAAAGGGCCCCCCTCCCTTTATTGCTATTCTATCCGAGTTCATTTTGGGGCGGAATCTTCTATAGGAAGATAAATGGAGTTCAACCACGTCTCTGTAGTTCATGAAGCCATTCCTTAGCGTTGGCTTTTGAAATTGATTAGTTGCGTATATCTTATTTCTTACTGTGTTAAAGTGCCAGCCACAAATGAAACTTGAATTAATGATTACCTGAACATTTCAATTTTCTTTCTTTTTTGAGAACTTCTTCATCGTTTCTTATCACAATTTACATCAAAAGGAGTACGTAGCCCCATTAACCCGTACTTTATATCCTTCCCCCTTCCTCAAAAAAATTAATAAATAGCAAAAAAGATGTTCTCGAAGCTTATCACGCAACTCCTGGCTGAGTTTTTAGGCACCTTTTTCTTACTCCTCACGATTCCACTTGCTTCTCACGGCGTGGCTACGCTATCCCCCTTAGCGATAGGATTCATTCTTTCTGCAATGTCCTTTTCCCTACGCCATATTTGTGGAGCCCACTTCAACCCAGCGATATGTTTTGCCGCGTTTGTTAACAAATCACTCTCCTATTCTCTTTTCGTAGGGTACGTTTTCGTTCAGATTATTGCAGGATTTTTTGCAGCTGTGTACGTCTCTTCCATTCACGAATCAAAAATACTCTTCGTAGGGGTAGAAGTGGATATCGGCGACATTTGGAGATTGGCGCTGTGGGAATTTATTTATACCTTTGCTCTCGTTTCAGTAGTGTTGCATGTTTCTTTTTCTGGGCAAAGACAAAATGATTTCTACGGACTTTCCATCGGAATGTTGCTGCTATCAGCTGCCTTTACAGATGACAAACGTACCGTTAGCCTCCTCAATCCAGCTGCTGTTACTGGAGCTGAGTTGCTTTCATGGTTAAGGGGCAGCTCTGATAGCTTTATATTTTTTTTGGTTAGTTGGATTGCACCTATGAGTGCTGCGTTTGTAGGGTCTATTTTTTTCCAAATGCTAGATACAAAAGATGACAGGGTAAGAAGACCGACTAATATTGCGATGATATATTAAATTCATATCATAGGTGCCCGACATCACTCCGATTTAAGCTCTCTTTAACGAGCAAGACATCAACGCCGCATCTTGAGTACTGTTCACCTTTTGCTTTGTATATACATGTCGCTGTGATTTTGCGATATATACATATATATATATATATATATATATATATGTATCAATCATTAATGCAACTGTA